TCTATCCCAATTTATGTCCAGGTAATTCAAATCTCCAATAATTAATGTGTTACCTAGCTGTGCAGCTTTCACAATTTCACAGCTGTTCTTCCTCATCAGTATTAAAATTAGGTGGTTTGAAACATAGCCAAACTAATAATAGATCCCCCTTTCTTTTGCCCCAAGCAGATATCTTCCCAGAAAGCTTCCACATCTTCCTGGTTGTATTCCACTTGCTTAATATTTTAACCTACAAACTTACCCCACCACCTTTCCCATTTTTTTCAATGCTTTCTAAATAGTGTTGAAACATTTAAGTAAACTTCCCAGTCATATGCCTCACCCCACCATGTTTCAGTTATATATACACGCTATCTACAATAAAAGGAGCAGAAAATAGTGTAATACAATTTTAAAAGGGAAGCAGACAAATAGTATAGAACTGTTGTGTTAAAAATATTCGTTTATAAACATTGTTCTCTAGAAAAGACTCAATCCTTCCAGAACCACTCAGTATTGATGCTCCTGAGTGAAAGAACTGAGTCCGAAATTCATCCGAATCCTCCAAACCAAAAACAAAAAGTTTGGATGAGTCTATTTGAACAACCAAATATTTTTCCTGTGCACAAGTCTTTTATATAGCAGGATAATACTTTGTACTAACCTTTCCTTAAATGTAACTTTCTTATATGTTAATAACAAGAACAAAAATTGAATGATCAGTGTAGTGTTATATAATATGTTATATATGCTTCAACATTTGATATCTGTTATTAGTCTTCAGTCATACATTATTTGGGACTTTAGTCTACACCAGGATTTCAAAAAGTTTGCCATGGTCAACGATTTACTTCAGACTACCTCAAAGTCTCATTTTAGGTTCTCTTTGTAATGGAACATGTAAGCAAAAATATTTTTGACAACTTAGCGGGGACTAACCGCAGAGCAGGCTACTGAGTTTCTCTAAGCTTTTGACCATTCTTATAATTCTCTGATTCTCTGTTTTTGTTGCAATGCATTTGCTTAGTCTTTCCCTGTATTAAAAATGTAATCCAGATGTAGGTCCTGTGCTCACTGTTCCTAGAGGGGTATGAGCTACAGCTTTGCTTATGATGCCCAAAGAAGGCCAAAACAATTGTCCAGAGTTGCTGTTGCTCTCATGCAGAGAGAACTTGCCAGCATTTTAGTTCTGGAGTACCCTTTTAGATGAGATCAGTCTGATATGAAAATGGCATATGTGAGTAAAAACTATTTGAAAACCTGAGCAGGGACAAACTGAAGGACACCAACTATAACCCTAGCCCTACAGCTAACCCTTCCCTAACACTAACTCTTACTGTACCCATACCCCTATATCTAACCTTAGCCAAACCCTAACCCCACCACTAACCCTAACTCTAAGGAAACCCTGTGCTAACATCAATTATGATATCAAAAGATGGGTTTCCTAGATTTAAAAAAACAGTAAGTAGTGTCTAGCAGCTCATCGAAAGTCTGGGGCCACTAAAATGGTCCCAGCTGACAGAGGGGAGCCCCAAGTATCAATTGATACCTGGGACTCCATGGTGAGAGCAGGAATTTAACCCTGCTCACACCAAAACTGCAGGATATGTCAGTATGCCCTAAAGGCTTTAAAGCCCCTTATAGTTAGGACATATTGACGCATCCGAATGTTGTTAAAGTGTTAAAGGCATACTCCGTAAAAAAAACCAACAGTATAGTAGAAATATGCCTATAATTTGTTTGGCATCTTACAATCTAATATCTAACATCTGCAGTAATCTAATCTAAGATCTAATATCTGCAGCTACTGCAATCCCTTCACATTCAACACAAATTGTCCTACAGCTCAGCGAGAACTCTTTGCAAGACAGCTGCTCTGGGAAATGACTGCCTTTTGAGCTTAGCTTAACGGAACTAAACAACCAGGAAGTAACAGGACTGGTTGTCTGATTGATAGCCTCAAAGGTGTAACAAGGTCCATTTATGAAACTGCAGAAGAGGTTCAGTTTTGAAGGATGGTCTTTCTGGAACCTGTCAAAACCATTTGAATAAATGTTGAGTGTTTAGGAGTATTGCCAGAAAAAAATACAGAAAATGGGCAACTCTGAGTACAATGCTGTTAGAAAACTTATTTATAGAGTTTTTTTTTTTTTATCGGAGAACTATCCCAAAATTATGGTTCCTCTTCTATCCATCAATCAAAGGCTGAGGTAAATGGTGGCAGGTTCTCTTAAAGGTTAACTTGTCTTGACAAGTTCACTTCGAGTGACAGACAGAGAAATAAAACCTTTCTGTTAGGATGAAGAAAAGATATAACAGAGGACCACTTTCAGCATAACAAGGATTTAATTCTGAGTTGTTTTAATAATATCCCGTAGATCAATTGTAACCGCATATTGGTGCAGGCTACATTTGACAGTAAATGGCACTAATATAAGCAGATGTCACACAAAATGGGTTTGTAAGAATAATTTCCCAACTGATCATAAATACTTTCATTAGAGGTGGTAAAACAAACTGTTGTTATGCGGAATTTTCCAGGGATATGTATAAAGCTAACCAGAATTGAAAATGATATGAAATATTCCAAGATTAGATACCTAAGTTATTGCACAAGGAGTTATATGATATGTGTAATACATTTGTATTGTCCGTGTTCTGTTTTAAAATGTGTAATGTGTTTGTGTACTGATGTAAGTAAGAATTTGAAGTAGGTGGGGATGACACTAGTCCCTTTGAATCTCGACCCCCATGCTTCTTCAGTTGTCCCCTAGTTTAATCTCCTGTTCTTCATCTCAGGACACTCTAGAGCAGGGTTGTCAAACATGCGGCCCCCCAGATGTTGCTGGACTACAACTCCCATGATTCCCTGGCTATCTGTTTCATTGAAAGAATCATGGGAGTTGTAGTTCAGCAACATCTGGGGGGCCGCATGTTTGACAACCCTGCTCTAGAGCCTTAAAGCTTGGTCATTGTTATAGAATATGCTGCCCTGGCCTCTCAAACCATTCCTTAATTTGTACATCTAAAAAAACTTCCTAATTTAGGGAAATGGATAAACTTACCACACAAGTTATACACCTCCCCCAGCAAGCTATACCTTCCTCATTTCACACAACATGTCTTCTCATTACCAGCTTCCAGTCTTCTGCACGTTGTAACTCTTCATTGACTGCACAACAAAACACTGATTTCGACAATAACAGGTTTATTTACTAAGTGAGAACTCAAAGTGAATACAAAGTGATTTTCAGCTGTTAGACCAAACTTACCGAACTTGAAGCTTAGATGACTTGCATACATTTTCCAGTTTTGGCTATTTGGTCCTGAAATTAGAAATTAATTTTGAAGTCATCTTGGATTCTTTCTAACTGTAGTGAGTAGCCCTGAATGTGAAATGAAGTTGCTCAGTGTAAATGACCCTTTTCCTAAATTAAAGCACAAGCTTAGTTCTGGTTTTGTTTCCTGTTGGGATAGCTGAGATTCTATTCCAAGTTTACTAATCTCATTGACTTTATTGGCCTCTACCACTACCTGTGCTGGAAGGACATTCTGTGCTCCCACAACTCTTTCAATAAAACATATTTCCTTAAAGAGACATTATAGTCACCGAGACCATTTCAGCTCAATGAAGTGGTCTGGGTGCCAGGTCCCTAAGGTTTTAACCCTGCAGATGCAAACATAGCAGTTTCATAGAAACCTCTATGTTTACATTTGGGATTAATCCAGCCTTCAGTGGCTGTCTTCCGGACATCCACTAGTGGCGCATCTGCGACGCTGGAGGCAAATTATGCCTTGATCGCGCAGAGTGTCTATAGGAAAACATTGAGAAATGCTTTCCTATTGACAGCTTGAATGCGCGTGAGGCACTTGCCGCGCATGCACATTCCACTCCACTAACGTTGGCAGAGGGAGCTTACGTCGGCGGGTGAGGAGAGGTCACCAGTGCAGAGGGAGCCCGGCGCTGGAATAAGGTAAGCTGCTGAAGGGGTTTTACCAGTGCCCTCAGGGCACTATAGTGTCTGGAAAACCGCTTAGTTTTCCTGACACTATAGTGATCCTTTAAATCTCTTTATGTCACATTCTGTTCTGTTCTTTTAATTCTATAGAAAATATATATTAATATGCAGATCCTGCACCAGTCTTGTATCCTATCTCTGAATCTTCTCATCTCATTGTAAAGACTTGCTCTCCTAAACCAAACACAATATGTGTGAGATTATATTCGGCATCTATACTGTGACATTAGCCACTTCCCTTTCCTTCTCCAAATCACTTGCGTCCAGCCACTTATTCACCAGGCTTTTCCTGCTTTTTAGTAACAGAGCTTATTTTAAATCTCTGACTGATAAGAACCTTCTGGGTTCTTTCATCTTCTGTCGTCGTTGGTTAACTCCCAAAGTATTGTCACATTATTTGGATTAGTAATGCAAATAGTAAAAGACAGATTGCAAACCAGACAGTTTGTTGTCCCTCTCTGGTTACATTGTATCTTCACGATTTACATCTTGTGTAATTACACCCCTCTTCTTTCAGTCAGAAAAGTGAATTTGGGCGCCCACTTCTGTCTTTTCGTGCTTATATCCTTTTGTGTACCACTGTTATCAACCTGTTGACAGCTCCATTCACAATGTTGTGAAGCTTCCAACCCCTCATGTGTACAGCCATGGATTGAGCTGTCTCAGCGACTTGCTTGGTATTTGCCCACAGTGCATGCGCACAGATATTGGTAGGTCAATGGATAAGCTGCAGATCCCTTCTTTGACATTAAAGGGGCATTTTAACAGTTGCAGAGATTTTCTGTGAATCTCAAAACTTCAGCAGAACCTGTACAATGAGCACAGGTTGTTATGGTGCTTGATTTTTCCGTTTAATCTTAAAGGAACAATCTAGTATTAGAAATAGTGATGTCCCGAATGGTTTGCCGAACAGTTCGCCATGGATGGCGAACATATGCGCTGTTCGGTCCGCCCCCTATGTCATCATTGAGTAAACTTTGACCCTGTATGTCACAGTCAGCAGACACATTCCAGCCAATCAGCAGCAGTCCGTCCCTCCCAGACCCTCCCACCTCCTGGACAGCAACCATTTTACATTCATTGTGAAGCTGCATTCTTTTTTAGTTGTCCAGGAGGTGGGAGGGTCTGGGAGGGAGGGTCTGATGCTGATTGGCTGGAATGTGTCTGCTGACTGTGAGGTACAGGGTCAAAGTTTACTCAATGATGACATAGGGGGCGGACCGAACAGCGCATATGTTCGCCATCCGTGGCGAACCGTTCGGCAAACCGTTCGGCGCGCCACAACTCCTTTCACTGAGATTATCATTACTGATGATCTCAGTCAAGCAAATGCTTCCCCATATGGAACCATTGTGGGTCTAATGCGCATGTATGACAATTGCCTTACTGCATCAATCAATATCCCCTCATAGAGATACATTGACTCAGAGCGTTGGGACGACAAACACCAGTCCTACAATCTTTGCTTGACTGCACCAGGAAGTCCCTCTTTTGGCTGTCCAAGTCCCTCTGGTAACATTAGGCAGCAGGGTAAGCACAGCCTTTTGTCTCTGACTCAGAATCTCTACTTTAAGCTGTAGTGATTTTGGTACCTAGAGTGTTCCTTTAAGAATGTTATCACTAATAACTGATTCATACTTTTTCTTTTAAAATAAAAAAATATTATTTGACCAAACAAAAGTATAAAAAAATTAAAAATAAATGTATATATATATATATATATATATATATATATATATATCTCCGAATGGTATCTAAAAAAGAATAAGGCAATTAAAAACAGACTACATATTGTAGCCATAAGGTGAAAAAACCATGTTTAAAAAAACTTTGCGATTTTTAAAAAGAAACCTTTATTTAATGTTTATAGTGCAGATGCAAAACATCTGTGTTTTACCACCTGTTTGGGCTTCAGCTGTGAGCAATAGTGCCTTTTCATGCTTAGTTTTTCAAAGGATTCATTAAAACAGGTTTGAAGTTATGTAATCAGAAAGGTTTCCCGCTGGACACCAATATAACTGAAAAGAAAGTAAAAGCAACTGCACCTCCATAAATTAGCGCAAGGATAACCCACGTATTGGTTTTATGATACTGGACACTAGTTACAATATTTAATCAACTACAATTTACAGTGTGCAGTTTAAATGTTTTTATTAGAAAAGGAAACCCATTTCTATGAAATATAAAATATGTTTAAACTAAGAATACAGGAACATTTTTTTATTAAAATGAATTCGTAATCATGGGGTGTTAAAAACATGTACTTTAGAGGATATGTTAATGTTTAGTTTTAATGAAAGTTGTGTCCTTTTGCACCATTCTAACCTGCTCAGAAATCATAGATAGGAGATACAAGGAGAGGGGGTGACTATTAAAAAAAGAGTAACTGTTATTGGAGAGAGGTGGGAAGGGAGCACACCAAGGGTAGGAGGACATGGACACGAAGAAGCTGATCATGTCTGTTGCCAGCATGTACTGTGCACTGACAACAAATGTAATATTTGCACAGAATTAAGATTAGTAGAATTAACTCTGCACATACTGATTCATACTACCACAACCACTTCTAAAATGCAGAAATTGTCGTGGTGGTTGGAGTAACTCCTTAGATTTGAAATTTACTTTGAATTCGTCTCACTTTGGTGAATAACTCTGCATAATTAAGGTGGTGTGAAAGCGCAGATGTTTAAACACCAGATCCAGTTCCTACTTCATCCTCAGGGTGCTATTTCTGATTGACAGAAGAACTGACTCCACGATTAACACCATGAAGATCACAAAGTTAAGTAATAATATCAATTAGCTATCAATCAGCTCATTATGTTATCAAATTTGATAGAGTGTTCTAAAGCATTGTGGGTGTCATTTGGGAGAAAAGTTAAAGATAAAATAATAGATAATTATTACACAATGGAGAAAGATGATTGCATTGAGAAACAGATGAAACTTGTGTGAAAGAATTTAGTTGAATATACTACATGTAACGTAAGGAAGAACTATAGTAAATGATCATTCTAAGCAGGTAGAAAGAAGAGGCTTAAAGTGGAAGCTAGGTCATTCTCTTATTGACAAACACAGATTTCGGTTCCCATTAATAGAAATGCCTAAGTTTAGTCCCCCAGTACAGATACGACTGTTGGTATAGCTGCAGTGATCAAGGACAGAAAACATTTCCCCACACAAGAGCAATTCAATAAGATATAAAGAGTTAGTTTAAGGTCCTGTGGAGGAATTGGAATGATTACAATATACAATGTGTCTGCTTCTTTTTATCTGTGTAGAGCCTTCAGTATCATCACATCTTGTTCCCATATGTCTGTATATACTGTGTTTGTCATAATTTATTTCTATGTTGCCTTTACATATTGTACAGTACATAAAAAAATAGTTTTTGTTGTTGATCATGAAATTATGGGGGGAGAGGCCTGGTGGCCTCTTAACAGTTTTCTCCTACTCTATCTGAATCCAACAACACTAAATAGCGATTGAGTCACCAAGTAACACTACCTGGACTTGACAATTGTGTCAATATTTGCCCTGAGACGTTAAACGGACACTATAGTCACCCAGGCCACTTCAGCTCAATGAAGTGGTCTGGGTGTCAGGTCCCTCTGGTTTTAACCCTTCACGTGTAAACATAGGAGTTTCAGAGAAACTGCTATGTTTACATAGCAGGGTTAATCCAACCTCTAGTGGCTGTCTTCCTGACAGCTGCTAGAGGTGCTTCTGCGACGCCAGATGCGAAATTCATATCCAGCGTACAGAACATCCATAGGAAAGCATTGAGACTGGATGGACTGTTTGAATGCGCACGCGGCACTTGCCGCCTATGTGCATTCAGCTCCACTCGGGAACTGACGTCGGTGGGGGAGGAGAGGTCACCAGTTAAGGTAAGCTGCTGAAGGGGTTTTGGGTCCCCCAAGGATGACATAGTGTCAGGAAAACGTTTTTTTTCCCCTGACACTATAGTGATCCTTTAACATGTGGGCCTGTAACCTATATACGACCTGGTTGTCTACCAAAGGCTGGAGACCTTTTGAGGGATACTGGAGCAAGCTGTATTGCATGCTGCATATTTTAATTTCAGCAAATGATCTGTACTGGTGGCTGTTGCCTCCACTCTCCCCCTGCCAGGGCCGGGGAGGATCAATCTGGTCCACCCTGATGCTGCGGGCTCCCCGTCTCCCTGCATGGATCCCCAACAAGGCCGCTGATCCTTTATGATGGAGCTGGATCTTTTATCACCAAAAGCATTATTTGCCCACAGCTGCGGTTGCAACTTGCAGGACTTTACTATATTTCTCAACAGGCTCCACAAGTTCCCTATGTTGGATGCCTTTCAAGCGGTTAAGTGCTCCCTATTGTGGCTCAAGTCATCCTTGACACCCTGGGTTTGGGGGAACCTGGGTGACATTTCGCTACATGCTACGAACCTCACATCTGAGGGATCCAGTCCATCCAATGGACCGCTGGTTGGCTGTCTGGGGCCTGTCTGGTCTAGCTGTGTGGCTGGCGTGGAAAGGTTTCTGGTCATGGATTTAATCTGCCTGTGGAGAGTATATTAAATGTAAAAAAATGTAACTCTAGCACTAATTATAGAGAAGTATATGCGGTGCTGCTGCAATCACTAAGTTTTGATTGTTGTTGTGCACTATGACCACTATTTTACTTTGCCTGTGGAGATTGCTGGGGCCCAGGGCTGTCTAAGGCTTTGGAAGGAGGCTGGATTATTGATGACCATGGTGTGGGTGAACCTACACTGGAGAGACCCAGAGGTACTTGGAGGCCCCTGGGGTTGCTGGGAGACATGCTGCTAAGGGATCATGTTTCTGTACCGGAAAGGCTACCTGGACTCATAATACTGTGCTTGGCCGGTATGGTGGTCCAACATAAAAGTTATTTTTGTGTTTTATTTTTTGATGCAGGGTTCCTTGGAGGAATTTTGTTTTTCTTTATTTTTATTGTTTTATTATGCATGGGCATGCTTACAACTACAAAAAAAGAAGTCCTGCGCTCACTCCCATCACAACTGGGCCGGCAGCAATGACTACAGTACACATCAGCCCCATTAAATAGTAAAAACCAAAGAAAAGAAAAAGTTACCTGCACTCTCTCCTTAATCCCTATTTATATTTAGACAAATGGTGGTCATTTAGTTGCTCCAATGGCCATTGGGGGGAATGCCCGCCTGCCAACGTCAAGGCAGACCCCCGTAAGCGGGTCCTAACACTGACCCTTCAGCCTGCTTCCTTGAGCTTCTCGCAAAGATATCTCCAATGAGACAGAGAGTAGTATTTTTATACACACCCCTATATACTTATTAACTCTTAATAGGGAACACATGGGATGGGCGACAGCATTGTAACAAGGCTGTGTGATACAAAGTAAATACAAATACAAAAAAAGAAGTCCTGCGCTCACTCCCATCACTACTGGGCCGTCAGCAATGACTACAGTACACATCAGCCCCAATATATAGTAAAATCCAAAGAAAAGAAAATGTTACCCGCGCTCTCTCCTTAATTCCTTACAACTGCTTACAGCTAGCCCGCTCCTTGGCTCATTAAGCTTTAGCTTGTCAGAGTTTGGTTACAACAATTATTCACTTATGACATATTTTATATTTTGTCAATAATGACTTATATTCCTACTTTAGGTGGGCCTGTTTGTTGATAATTCTACCTTCACACTCCTAGTCTTGTGATATCAACAGTTTACTGTATCGCTTTAATGCATGGATGACAAATTGCTATGTTCTACAGGATTGCATGGCCCACTATTGCACTATATAACCTAGTTTTTGTTTATTTTACATACCACATTTTATTTTATATGTACAGTTATACTGGTAACAGATGTTTTTATGGCAACACATTAGCGGTCCCTATGCCTAGTAGTGAATAGCTCAGCACTAATATCTGTAGCTCTCACATTAAATTAACCTGTAAATTCATGGCAAAGAAGACACAACTGCTTTAAAATGAGTTCTGGTCGTGCCCTGTAGGGTACTGTTGGGATTTTATTACCTGATCTTTGTGTGCAATGTAGTACCAATCCCTTTCTAAATCAAATAGTTGATCAATAAAGCAGGCCTCCCAAATGTCCCGATTTAGGCGAGACAGTCCTTATTTCAGTGTCCTGTCCTATCATACCAACTTTGTTCCCTG